AAGTGCATGAGTGCTGCAGTTTCTTATTATTCACCCTTTCTCCAAACACTTGGTACCATGAGGACACATGAATGTGGCTTCAATAATCACGCCTTTGACTTTAACGCTGAGGCTACATCTAGACTGCAAGCCTCTTTTGAAAGGGCATCTAGACTACAACCAGTACTTTCGAAAAATCAAGTCTCTTTTTCAAAAGAGAGCACCCAGGCAGTCTGGATGTACTCTTTCGAAAAAGCACAGTTTGCATTACATAGTGCCTTTTTTCAATAGAGCACTTTCGAAAAAATGTGTTCTTCCTCATAAAACGAGGTTTTCCACAGTTGAAAAAACTGCTGCGTTCTTTCAATTTACTTTCAAAAGCACAGTGGAAGCAGTCTAGATACAGGGGAAGTTTTTTTGAAAAAAGGCCACTTTTTTCGAAAAGACCGTGTAGTCTAGACACACCCTGAGAATGTTTTGTGTTTGCATCCCTAAGGGTACATCTACACAGCAGGGCTAAACTCAAAATAAACTACGCAACCTGAGCTAGGCTAATTGCATAAACTCAAAATAAACTACGCAACCTGAGCTAGGCTAATTGCATAAACTCAAAATAAACTACGCAACCTGAGCTAGGCTAATTGCATAAACTCAAAATAAACTACGCAACCTGAGCTAGGCTAATTGCATAAACTCAAAATAAACTACGCAACCTGAGCTAGGCTAATTGCATAAACTCAAAATAAACTACGCAACCTGAGCTAGGCTAATTGCATAAACTCAAAATAAACTACGCAACCTGAGCTAGGCTAATTGCATAAACTCAAAATAAAATACTGTCAGGCTATATCTACACTGCAGGGAGAAGGGGGTTTTGGAAAAAGATACGCAAATTGCGAAACTCAACTTGCATACCTTTTAATGCTTGTATTTCGGAAGAGGCTTTTCCAAATTTTGGCCAGTCTGCACAGAGTCAAATGTGGGAAAAAACTTATCTTTCGGAAGATTGCTTATTCCTCATAAAGTGAGGAGCACAGGGATGACAAAAGAAAGTGTCCACTTTTTCGGAAACGGTTCAAAAAAAAGCAGACGCGTTCTCTGGATGTGGCAGAGTTTTTCTGGGATACCAGAGGTTCCCCAAAAAAACCTCTGCAGTCTAGACATAGCCTAAGAGAGGATTTGCATAGGCAATACATACTCTAAGAATTACCTTAGAGGTGCAACCGTGTTAGTCTGTAACTTTAAAAACAACGAGCAATCTTGTGACACCTTAGAAACTAACAAAAATACATAGAATCGTGAGTTTCTATAGATAAAGCACACTTCATCAGATGAATTGGAGTGGAAATAATAGAAACCAAGATATGTATATACCATTTAATGTCTTTGTTCAAGCCTAGGGTAAAAATGTCAAATCTGTAGATGAATTTTAGTTCTGCAGAATCTCTTTCTCTAATTGGTCAGTGAAATGCCTTTGTAGAAGAATGGCTAATTTTAAATCTATGATTGAGTGACCAGGCAGGTTAAAATGTTCCTCTATAGGTTTATGAGTTTTACCATTCCTGATGTCTAATTCGTGTCCATTTATCCTTTGTTGTAGAAATTGCCTGGTTTAGCCAATATTCATGGCAGAGGGGCATTGCTGGCATATATCACATTAGAAATGTGCAGTTGTATGAGCTGCTGATATTGTGGCTTATGTGATTAGGTCCTGTGATAGTGTTGCTTGTATAGATGTGTGGACAGAGTTGGCAACGGAGTTTGTTGTATGGGTAGGTTCCTGGGTAAGTGCAACTGAGGTGCACAGCAATGATTCAAATGAAGCATGTATATTTTCATTTTATTTTCCAAATAACAATAATTAATTGAGTTAAGGACCTAAGCAACACCAGGTAAATCTTCTAGTTATATCTAATTTAGTTGTAGATCTCTATTGGGAATAAATTATTTCTAGGGACTAGGAAAGCTGTACCAAATTCATTTTTACTTCTATGAATTCATAACTCTAGACATAAACAAGTACTGCATTACTACACTCTACTCATGACACCACCACCCCAATGTAGAGATTTCTGTCAGAAATGTTGACTGCTATTTTGAAAATATAAATTTCTCATGAATGTTCATCAAGAAAGGTTTTTAATTAACAATTAAAACTACACTAAACTTCTGAAGACTGAAGATGTTTGTTGTTCACTGGCACAAGATAAACTTTGGGTGCATAGATTTATCTTCACTTGTTTTGTTTTGTTTTTTGTTTTGTGCTACAGACCCTAAACTGCCTCATTCCCCAACAAGTCCAGCCTCTAACTTTACCCGTTGTGGTGATAGTAGCTATTTAGTCATCCGTTCCAAAATGAAATGGGAAGAGGCACGACAAAACTGCAAAGACAAATCCTCAGAACTTGCCAGTATTTTAGATCCCTACAGCCAATCATTTATGTGGCTCCAAGTGTTAGAATATGGAGAACCTGTATGGATTGGTCTTAATAGCAATGTGGTAAGAAAAACAAATATATTGCTGCTTCTCCAGGTAATATTAGAGCTCTTGCATTCCCTTTTTAAATGGTAGGAGTATCTATTATCACAAAGCTATTTTAGTTGTACCACCTGGGGTCTCACACTGAGCAGGTGAAACCTATGTCAAATCCTGTCAGAATCCAAGAGTGAGACCAGCAAGAGATGAAGGCAAGGGAGACTACAGAAGATGTTGGAGGAGACAAGCAAAAGGCAGCTATGAGTACAAGGTATGGTAGAAAGACAGAAAGCCATGGAAATGAGAGAAGGGGGAAACACAGAGGACAGCTGAGCAGAGAAGCAATACCCTTGAAAGACTTAGTAGGTAAAGAATCAGAGTATGAAAAAGGAAAACCCTCAAAATTGGAGGTGGGACCTAAAGATGAGCAGGAAGTAGAAGAGGTGATTTTTCTTTAACCAGTTTTTAAACATAGCAAAGTATTTAAACCCTTCCTTCTTTGTTGTGTGTTTATCCCAGTGGGTACCTCTGCAATGACACCACATCTGTGGTTTCCTAGCTGTCACTTAAAAATATTCCCTCTAAAGATTCTTTTGGATTTTTTCTTAAATATACAATTTATCAGTTTCCTAAAGGATTTCAGCGATAAGAGTGCCATTGTTTGTATTCTTTTATAACCTAATTTATTATTCTAACTTCTTGTTCAGTAAACTTCACCCATTGTACAATGCCAAAGTCATGTAGGCTAATTAATTATTAATATTAATATGAAAGTTAATAATAATAATAATAATGTAATGTTATTGTTCTTATGATGATGACAAGAAGTGTTCACTAGTACATTCAAATTTTAAATTATAGATACTACATTATTATAATACTCTATAATGCTTTAATTATGCTATAAACCGCCCTTGAATTGATTTTGCTTCTAGACCAACCGCAATTATCAATGGATTGATAAATGGAGAATGGAATATTCTAAGTGGGCCAGTCATGAGCCAAAGCAGACAATAGCCTGTGTCTATCTAGACCTTGATGGAGCCTGGAAGACAGCATCTTGTGATCAAAACTACTTCTCTGTCTGTAAACAGTCTGATGGTAAGCAATAAAATTTAATAATTTGCATTGGGGAGTGTAGGTTCATTTAAGTTCTCTCACAAGTTATGTTATAAGCTTTTGGAAAAGATACTTATGTTATGGTTCAGGACTGAGTTCTTTGAAGAGAGAAAAACAAGATTTTAGTAAAAAGAACTAAAATATCTTTGGGAAAAAGGGATTTTTTTGGTATTCCCAACTTCTCTCCACTTTTTACTGTTTTCTCCCACTGAATAGGTGAAAGGAAAAGTAAAAAATGTGAGAGAAAAAGTGACACTTTCATTTTAAAATCTTATTATAAAATTTTTAACAGTAACACTTGCAATTTTTAAGCTAAAGATTATTTTTCCAGTGGAAATTAAAAAAAAAATAGTTTTCCCCAGTTAGTTTCTTTAAAAAAAACAAAAAAACAAAACAAAAACAAAATTTTTACTCTCTCCTCCTCCTACAAAAAAACCCCATCAAATCAAAAACCTTTGAAGAACAAACCAACCAAACAAAACCAAAAACAATATATACATTTTCTAGTTTCTTTTCTCATCTGTCTGAACAATCACTTCCAAATATACCTGGCCTGTTTAATCACTCTGCAAAATAAATTAATGGCAATAAAATAAGTTTGAATTGATCCAATTATCCTTTGCAATAGGAAAATACATTTGTTTAGGTAAGTAAGTTTTATTGCATTTTCAGGATTTCAAACTTCATGTAAAATAATTACAATCTCCCCTAAAAAGCTTGGGAAGTTGGACTAAACAGTATGGCTGTGTCTACACTGGCATGAATTTCCAGAACTGCTTAAAACGGAATACTATTCCGTTTTCAGTTTTTCCGGAAAAGGAGCATCTACATTGGCAGGCTGCTTTTCCGGAAAAGCGTCTGTGGCCAATGTAGACGCGCTTTTCCGGAAAAGAGCCCCGATCGCCATTTTCGCGATCGGGGCTTTTTTCCGGAAAAGACTACTGGGCTGTCTACACTGGCCCTTTTCCGGAACAGTGTTCCGGAATAAGGACTTATGCCAGAGCGGGAGCAGAATAGTTTTTTCCGGAATAGCGGCTGATTTTGTACAGTAGAGCGTCATTGCTTTTCCGGAAATTCAAGGGCCAGTGTAGACAGCTCGCAGCTTATTCCGGAAAAGGGGTTGATTTTCCAGAATGAGTGGACCAGTGCAGACACAGCCAAAAGTTTTATGCCATTAGTATAATATAATGGGAATGTCAGGGTGCTTGTGGTTTTATAAAATTTTGTCAGTCCATTGGTAAAAGTAATATAGTTCCTGTGGCTCTTCATCTCCCACAATCTTATATATCTTGGCCGCTTGCTTTTGATTCTCTGAAGTTCATGGAAGCAGATCATTGTTTTGGTGCCATGTGGTCTGTGTATGCCCCCCTGCACTTGCTTACTGTCAGTTTCTCTACCTCCTCTGCAACAAACAGCAGCTGTTTCTTTTGCCCTTGCCCTTATTCCTTCCATTTTAATTCTTCTTCCCAAGCACTGGGGCGCAGTGTTCTCACTCCTTGGATCAGTTAACCCTTACGGGGGTTTAATTTCCTTGAGCTCTGCTACAGCATCTCCTTGCAAGCTCCTCTTCCCTTATAGACACGACAGAGCAGCCAAGGAAGCACTGGGTCAAATCCAAGTAGTGGTCTCTGTGGGAGGCAGCTTTTCAAGGGTTCAGTAGATGATGAGTGTTGCCCAGCATGCAATTAGCCTTTCATCCCTAACTCTGTTAAGTGCCAGGGCTGTGAATTGGACAGGGAGGTGGGGTCTCCTACCCACCAAGGCAGCCATGTCTCCAGATGGGGAGAAATATAACAGGAGCTTCCATGCAAAGCAAGGAGAGGTCCTAAACTTAAGGAGGCCTCTGACCATTCAGCAGAGAAGTAAGTCCTAGGAGACCCTGAAGAGCAAAGAGAGCTGGCTTGTGGAGCCATAATTCCTCCTCTCTCAGGTCTTCAAGTGGGTCCTGAGAAATATGACACAGTGATATTGGATTCTGAGTCAGACATGTCAGGACAGCTCCAAACCCTAAGGAAGGCAAGCCACAAAAGGCACCCCAAAGTTTCTAAAGATCTAAAAAGGCTAAACAGAAAAAGAAAAAACACACGCATAAAATCCAGTTGATATAAGGTCTCTGGCTCCTCTCCCTCCTCCCTTCCTCCACTAAGGAAAGCAAGTTGTCAGGCTCTGAAACCTGAGTAGGCTCCTGTGAATAAGACAGAGCTAATTTTTCCATTCAAATTTCTTCCCCGAGGATGCAATACTCCTTCACTCCTCCTTGAAAACTGAATAGGGATGAATGGAACAAGCCAGATAAGGGCAAGTGAATTAACAAGAGCAACCTCTGTCTCTGAAACACTCAAGAACAAAAGGGCTCTATTGCTGAGCAGCAGTGTAGCCACAGATGGACCTGAGTGAGCCAGAGCCCACCCACTAATTATCCAGGCCCACTCACCCCTGCTTTGCTGCTACCCCAGCACCTGCCCTGCTCAGCCAGCCTGGCCTCCTGCCTGCTGGAAAGCAGGGTAAGGCTGTGGGAGCTTGCTCAGCTCTAACGCTCTATCTCAGGAGAGAGGATTGGACTGTGGGAAGTTGTCCTGCTCCGCCCGCCCTATGCTATTGCTGGGGAGCAGGCTTGGAGCATGGGGGCTTGCAGAATTACCAGGTGGGTGGAGTGTGTGAGCCCCTGTGTCCCGATGCCCCTCCCGGTAGAAGCACCAGGCAGGCAGAGTTGGTTAGGCCCTGTGGTCCAACCCTTTCTCTTGCACTGGAGCTGGGCAGTTTGGGGCAAGCCTCCAATCCCACTCCCTGGCTGTAGTGCCAGGTTGGGGGGATAGCCCAAGGGCACTTTTCTTCACCCCCTCTTGCTCTCCAGAGTGCTGGAAATAAGGAGAGGCAGCCCTGAAGGCTCCTGCCCTGCTCTGCCTTTCTGCCATTGCCCACCCACTGTAAGTCGGGGTCCACCCAAGAGTCTGAGTCTGCCTACACCACTGTTGCTGAGACACTAAACAACTATAGCATCCCTCACAAGGGATAGGAAGATGGAGGCCACTTACCAAATGTCTCTGATGTCTCTTCTCCCACCCTCCAAGCATCCCTGGCCACTATCTTCTTCACAAGAGTATCTCTTTATTGGCTGGAAAATCTCAAAGCCCTGAAGGACAGAGGTCAGCTTGACTTTGGCTCCATTTTAATAGAAGTTTCCCTAGCAACAGCCTTTGTAGCTGAGGCCTCAAGGAATGCAAGGTTGAGCCATAGCTTCCAGTACAGTAGACAGGCACCACCTATAGTTCTGCCCCTGAAAGTTGGATATTTACTTCCTGTAGGTCCTGTGCTCAACCAAGTTTCCAGGCTACCTCCTTTTTAAAGAAAAGCTGGATGAAGTGGTGGCATACTATGCAGCAAAACCCAGTCTCTCCTTTCCCTGCTAAGCACTCTCAAGATAGAATATAGACTGGTGTTCAGTCAGAAGCACTCTTTATACTCCTCATTCTCACAGATGTACCTGGGGACAAAAGATTTCCCCAGGGAACATACTAGAATTGAGGCTTGGGGAACAGTCCAGAAGGACATTAGTGCCCCCCGCCTCCAATTCACTTAATGACAGAGCTTGTGAAGGTCTCTCTTCAGAGCTGAAGCTGTGGGACAGGATTTTCTATTTCATAGAAGAATGGTTTTCATTGAGCATAAAGGGGAAAATGGTGATCCAGGGATATTTCCATGAGCTAATATTTCCACATTCCAGCATCTCCAGAGATCCTGCAAAACACAGTCTAATCCAGAAGGAAAGTATATCATCTTCTGGATATTGGAGAGATTATTGCATTCTCTGAAAAAAATTCTCTGGTTTGTAGTCCATCATCTTCCTCATTGTACAGAAACTCACAGGGAGTTTCATGACCATTCTCAACCCGCAAAGGCTGAAGAAATGGATGAAGAAGCCGATGAAGACATCTATCAGTGATGATCTAGAATTAGTGCTTGGTCCTGCTGTGAGGGCAGGGGATTGGATTTGATGATCTCTCAAGTTCCCTTCCAGTTCTAGTATTCTATAATTCTAAGATGATAGTCATCATAACAGCCAGACAAGGAAATCACTTGTACCCCTTCCTGAACAACTTCTTGATCAGAGATCCTGTACAATCAGCAGCACAAATTAACGCAGCTAATATGCTGAATCACCTCCTGGCACAAGGCTTCATCATCAATGCCAAGAAAAGTCAGTCCAGAAATGTATTGTCTTATTCTAGAACCATAGGAGGCCTACTATAGTACTATACCTCTAACTGACAGGGCTTCTAATATCATGTATTATGGAAACCTACAAGTCACTTGTAATCTTGTCCCAGAAAAGATCAAAGCACACTCCACAAGATCTATTGCATGGTCTGAACTACAAACAAATTAGGAAATTTGCATAGTGGTCACTTGGTCTAAAACAAATACCTTCATTTTGTACTATATTGTCGATTATCCAACATCTACAAAGGCCTCCTTTGGCAAGAAGGTGATGCAGATGGTAGCCCTGAAATAATACAGACCTCACAAAAAAGGGGATATTTCTTTCCTACCAAGCTTTCACTGTTCACTACTTTCCAGACATTCAGAAATATGGGAGATGCTAGGCTGCATAACAGGAAAAGTCTTAACTGATCATTTCCTTTCTGCTAGAGCTGTTCCCCATGATAGGTATTTTGTTACTTCTGGAATATGTGTTAATAATGCTGTTGTGCAAGTTTTACAGCTCTGGAATAATTTATTGGGCAGCAAGGACCAGCAGAGGGGTTATGGTCAGATAATGAAGCACCAAATCGCTGATCGCTAGGAGCTACAGAGAGGAGAGCAGGCCAGATATTAAGAATTGTGTGAGACACTGCTAGAAGGATGGAAAAATTATTACCAGTAATTTCCTTTCTTAACAGTTATGGCTCCTACTGATTCTCCACAACTCTCTGGAAAATGCCCTGAATCAGAGGAGCACAGATCTTGGGTTCATTTCCGCAGTCATTGCTATTACATTGAGTCCTCATATACAAGAAACTGGGCCCAGGCTTCCCAAGAATGTACTCAATTAGGTGAGTAACATTTTTTAAGAGTGAAGACTTTATTAGACATATATAAAATAATATTTTGAAATAAATAGAAAACAAACTTTAGAACATTAAGAAACCAAATAGACTTTTTCAGTGTTGTTCTTTGTATTTATTATATAGATTTCACACACACTGGACAACAAAACTAGTTCACTGTCTACTTTTCATGAACTAAAAATGGCAGAGTTGTTAAGTCACCCATAACAGGGGGAAGACTCTCAATTTTCTGCACCTCCTCTCAACCTGGTGAGCTTCTGCAGAAAAGCAGGGAGGAAGAAAATCATTCCGATCTTCCTCTCTGTGGGTAAATCTGGCAGAACTTCTCTAGAATAATAAATCATAGAGACTTTGCTTAGAATCTGGTAATGACTAACCCTTCCCTCACTCCCATGTTTCCTTAATTGTTCCAGTATATTTCTGCCTTCTCACCAGATTTTACAACAGTTTAAATATCAGACACTGTGGCTGTGTTTAAACTGGCCAGTTTTTCCAGAAAATCAGCTGCTTTTCCGGAAAAACTTGCCAGGTGTCTACACTGGCAGCTTGAATTTCCACAAAAGCACTGACTTCCTACTGTAAGAAATCAGTGCTTCTTGTGGAAATACTATGCTGCTCCCGTTCAGGCAAAAGTCCCTTTTGCGCAAAGCTTTTGCACAAAAGGGCCAGTGTAGACAGCTCAGATTTGTTTTCCGCAAAAAAGCCCCGATTGCAAAAATCGTGATCAGGGCTTTTTTGCAGAAAAGCACGTCTAGATTGGCACGGACGCTTTTCCGCAAAAAGTGCTTTTGCGGAAAAGCATCCATGCCAATCTAGATGCTCTGTTCCAAAAGTGCTTTTAACGGAAAACTTTTCCATTAAAAGCATTTCCGGAAAATCATGCCAATCTAGACGCAGCCTATATTTCTGAGATGTTAACACTTTAATCTCAAAAGTGGATTTCCAGTATCTAGTCATCTGAGAAGCAATTGCACTGTTGTGCAAATAGAAAAAACCCCACAGTATACCAAGGCATTTTAATCTGCACAGGTGCTACAAATAAAACACTAGAATAATTTACACACATATAGACAATTTAGTGATGAGGATAAGGATACATTTACACTATTAAGGAAAATACAAGAAGAGCTGCATTCTATCATTATTCGACATGCAAAATTTCTATTTACTGCAGTGGATGTTTTGTACAAAAATTAGTGATATGACAGAGTCTCCAGAATTAATTGCTTTCAGTTGTTCAGAAAACTTAGAAAATAAACTTTTCTCCCAGAAAAGGTAGATTGTTTTTTCAATGATAAAACCTATGTTGTGTATTTTTAATGCTTTTCAGGTGCTACATTGACTTCTATAGAAGACCATGCTGAATCCAACTTCCTTTTACATAGTTTAAAGCCGCTTAAAAATAAAATACAAAGCTTTTGGACAGGAATGACCAAAAATGTGAATGGTAATTTTTTTTGCTTTTAATATTCAGTAATATCAGTGGACAAATGTGGTGTCATACTTCATATCTTAGGAAGATATAACATATAAAACTGATATTAAGATGCAGTCTTACATATTTTATAGCATATACAGTTTGAACCTCTCTAATCCGGCACTAGCTGATCAGGCAACATCTGTGGTCTGGCATGATCTTAGTTAGCCATATGTCCACTTCTCATGGGTGTGGCCATGTTTCCCGCAGTCCCACAAAGTTTGTTTGTACTGAAGGTATTAGCCAATACAAATATTTAACTCTGATCTGACCTTTCCTATGACACATAATTCCCTGAAGCCAAAAGCTCTGGGTAAAATGACTCATTATGGATGCAGACTATAAAAGGAGAAAGGCAGCCTGCTAATACATTTGATCCACTAGGAATAGTCTTGGTTTAGGGATTAAATCAAAATTCAAAATATCATGTGGTGCCTGACAAGTTTAAAATCAGAATGTAGGAGTCTTTGACAAACTCTGGGACTTAACCTATGATACTTTTAGTCTGACATTTTAAATACTTCTAAACCTTTCACCATGGTCTTCTTGTTTAAACAGCTGATCCTTTATTTCTTTTTAATATTAGGTCAATGGTTATGGAAAGACAACATTGCAGTGGATTTTGTCAACTGGAATGAGGATGAGCCTTCAGAATATAACAATGAAAATTGTGTTGAAATGTATGCATCATCTGGTTACTGGAATGATGCTCAATGTTCTTACAAAAGAGGATATATTTGTAAAAAGTCAGAGAGTAAGTGGTATTTGAAATATATTGGGATTATGGTGAATAATGTGTGTAGTAGATGTATATTATAAAATGTGTGCTGCATAGTATTATAGCAGAGCACAAGCTCTGCTATTGTCAATATGTACAAATTACAGGCGTGTTTGTATATGCGTAGAAATTATGTACATAGAAAGTATAGTCAAAGGTCACTTACACAACCATTGACTTCAATGAGGTCAGGATTTCACCAAAAATATCAAACACACACCTGTGCTTAGAAATAACAAGTTTCATTACACATCTTAAAATATATATGCAAATTATTGTTGTGATGGTTGCAGTAAAAAGTCTCTCATTAATTTATGCTAGAATTGGAATTCCATTATTCACCAGAATCCTACCATGCTGATGGATTGTGAATCACATTTGTAGCACTTCGCAACTCCTGTCTGCAAAGGCATTGATAAATAAGGTTTATTTTTAATGTTTGCAATTCCTTGGTATTAAAATAGTTTGGGGGGGAATACGTGGATGATTGAACAAATTCAGATTACAGTAGAGAAAAACATCTGGAAAACTCTCTTCAGAATATAAATTAAATGTGATGTTTTGAGGATTGGAAAAGTGTAGTTAACTTCATATTTTTTATATTTGTGTGCATATTTTCTCTACCTGATGCTGTTAGGGAACTGATACACCCTAATATTGTAAGCAAAGAAACTTTTGTGGTATTTCTAAGCCAAGGTTTCCATTCAGGACAGCCTCCTATTACAGAAAGCATTCAAGCATATGACCCAGATGCTTAAAGATAAGAATGTGCTTATCAGCAGTTCTCACACTTTGTGATACCGTGACCTCGCTCTAAGTTGCTCGCGACCTCCTAGGGGTCGGGACCCACAGTTTAAGACACACGGGCTTGAATGCTTTTCTGAACTGGAGTCTGATGCAGGAAGTATTGGAAATCCTGCAAGATCCAGATTTCCCACTCAATATCTCAACTGAAGAGAGTCAGATACTTTCCAGAATTAGACAGCCAAACTTTCAGACCTTCACACATTCTTAGCTGCATCTCTTAAGGGAGTTCCACAATACCAAAAGCAGAGTATGTGAAGCCACAACTTTTCATGCTCATGGAATGGCACCATCAGGACTATCCATTTGAGTGCATCTGGAATAAATGTCTCGTTTTATTTCTTTTTGACAGGTATTCAAACAGGTTTGACGGACAAGCCACCAGAAAGGAAAGGTATTACAATTTTCTTTTTTATTAAAGTAACAAGAAACATAATAACAATTAATAGGAACATTTCAAAATAATAAAACCATATGCATTCTTTTCTAAATTACAAAAAAATAATTTTCATTTTTAATTGTGGTATTTAATATAACTTATTATACTTCCTCCATCAATTGTGCTAGCAAAATATCTCCATGAACTTAGAATAAGGGGCTGCGTCTAGACTGGCAAGTTTTTCCACAAAAGCAGTTGCTTTTGCGGAAAAACTTGCCAGCTGTCTACACTGGACGCTTGAATTTCCGCAAGAACACTGACGATCTCATGCAAGATTGTCAGTGTTTTTGCGGAAATGCTATGCTTCTCCCGTTCGTGCAAAAGCCCTCTTGCGCAAATGCTTTTGCGCAACAGGGCCAGTGTAAACAGGTAAAAACTGTTTTGTGGAAAAAAGCCCCAATGGTGAAAATGGCGATCGGGGCTTTCTTGCGCAAAACCACGTCTAGATTGGCACGGACGCTTTTCCGCAAAAAGTGCTTTTGCAGAAAAGCATCTGTGCCAATCTAGATGCTCTTTTCCACAGATGCTTTTAACGGAAAAACTTTTCTGTTAAAAGCATTTGCGGAAAATCATGCCAGTCTAGATGTAGCCTAGGTGTATAACTTGTTTTATAAAATTGTCATAAGCAAGATCACCTTCCACTGCCACATTCCTGGAATTTCTTCTATCCCTCAGATGTCTAGTAATTGCTTTGTGTTTATTTACAGGAGAGAAAAAGGATGAAGAGGTGTCTGGATCACCGACCAGCATCACTTGGCTTATAATAATTTTGGTCATTCTGATTCTAGTAGGATCTGGATCTACAGCCTATTTCTATGTCAGGAAAAAAAAACGAAACCACTTCCCTATTGTAACTAGACTGAGTGATACAAAAGAAACTGTGGATGATCAGGAGCAAGATGAGCCCACTGTTGCCTAATAGAATAAAATAATTGAATAATATGTCTAATTGTATAACTGACATAAATGAAATCTTAGGCCAACATTGCTTTACCTTATCAAAATAGTTGTATATATAATGTATATAAATATATTCTTTAGAGTCCTGTAAATTTTTTAGGTTTACACATTTAAATGTCAAATAAAACATATTTCTCAAGTGGGCAGGTGCATAAATTTCAGAAATCCAAAATGAACTACACAGCAAGGTGAGCTAGCATTCAAGTATTTCCAGGTTTTAAAGAAATCTGATCTCTCTTAATTTGTAAAGGACAGCCCATGCATACAAACAGTGAGAATGCCCTCTGCAAAGTACCCTGCCAACTTCAGCTCAAAGAACCAGCAATTTCCTTTTAGCTTTTAGGACTGTATATCAGCTCTATGTACAAAAAACTGTGAATGAAATCCTGACCCCATTGAAGTCAATGACAAAACTCCCATTGGGAGTTAATTGGGGTCAGGATTTTGCCCTATGCAGTTCTTTCAGTTACAATATTTTTGGGATACCATATCTATATCTCTAGAGAAAAGTAATACAGTAATGTTGCCTTCATGTTAATTTTCCTTCACTCTTTTAGTTCAGCATCATCTGCAATGTTCAAAGGAACATTTCAGAAATCTTAGCTTTACAATTTAAGTTGTATATAAATCAGATTTTAAAATCATATCAAATTCAGCCATGCGAATTAAAATATTCAATACAGAAATAAATGAGAGAAAGCAAAATGTATATGTTCCTTCACTCATGCTTTCAACTTGTGCTCTTTAAAATGAGATTGTGCAATTTTCTATAACTTTGCATTTGTTTAACAGTCTGTGAATGTGAAAATGTTCCCATGAACTTCAAATTAACAAAGAAAATTGTTAAGAAAATATTGTGTCCATTAGACAATAATATTTGGGAATGGAGTTTAGAATACTGAGATGCCATATTTCTATGATCTAGCAATGTATTCATTTGTGGCTTTGGCCTGGTTCAGGTCTCTAAATTAGGGAAATAAAAGATTCACAAATACTTTTTAACTAAAGAGTTTCCATTTCTGTTTCCATGTGACTTGTTTGTGTATTTCAGGATAGACCCCTCTATGACTTTCCAATCAATTGAATGCTATAGCAATGCTGGGCTTGAGATGGTATGGACGTGTGTGGCATACCAGCACTTTGTTGTAGTGAGCTTGTCCTTAGTTTATTTTATCTTTCTGTACATTCTAGGAGTTCTGTTCTCTATGGCAAATTGTAGACTGGCCTTTCTCTAAGTAACAGGAGGGGAGCTGAGCATCCAGGGGCCTGAGAGAAAATTGTGCAAACCAGGGGAAGCAGGAATAATATGGGAAGCAGGTGCACATCAAAATACAGCTGTAGTGGGGAATAAGCTCTCTTTTATGCCACCTTATGGATATTGTAATTATTCAGAATATTTGCTTTGCTCCATTAGTAAGTGCCAATGCAACTCTGAGAGAAAATCCTTTGCTCTGGTGATCCTTTCCTCTGCAGTTCATGTCTGGTCACTTTTTCAGATATAGTAATACAGCTTAGTTGACTTTTCTTAAATAATGGTAATTTTATTAGGCATCTTTATTTTTTGGTAGCTTAAGGGAACTTGGTGTAGAAATTGTGTGCTTTATTAATATTGCTCAGGGAACATACAATACATACATTTCTTTCTTGATCTTTTGGTTTCCTCCCTGTTTCTTCCCTGTATTTAGCCACTGCAGTCCTTTGCACCTTAGTGGAGAAGACACGTATCTATTCCCTTTTGTCTAAGGCCAAGTGGGAGGTTAAGATCCAATTACTACAGTGCTGGAGGATTTATAGGCTCCATTAAAACACTAGAAGATGAAGGATGTTGTTCTATTCTAGTATTTTCTGCATGAAATTTTTCAGCTACAGTTCATGAGTCATATTAATTTTATAAACAAGATTCATTAAAAAATAGAGAGAAAAATACAGTAAAATAAAAGACACTATTTGCATAACTTGTCTAATCTGCATATTTTGCAAAGCCCATTGTGGTAGGCTCCTATTATGCACAAAGGAAAAAGGAACTTCTTCCAGCCCTAGAAAGCAAGTGGCTTAGTTGATGTTTCCATGGTTAGCCTGAAAATATCTGGACTCTATATCCAGAGGTCTCCCTGCTTTTATACCCAAAGTACTTATCAAGTTGACAGTGTTAGCATTGGGTATAGGAGGGAGCTCTGGGTAGGAGGCTGGGGTGTAAGAGGGGATGTGGAGACCAGTAGGCAGTCTAGGTGTAGGAGCAGATTCTGACCTTGGGTAAGAGGGGGCCTTTGCATGCTGCATGCACCTGCAGGCACAACCCAGACAGCTCCCATTGGCCAGTTTCCTACCCATGGGAGCTGCAAAGATTGTGCTAGAGGTGGGAACAGCATGCAGAGATACCCCTCAAGGGTCATGCACCATGCAGACACACACATGATGGCTCCAGCAGCCCGCCATTTTGCACTAAGTTTAGAGGACTGGCAGGCAGGGAGCCTGTCCAAGGGTCCCACTGCACCTCAGGACACTGGTGGCCTTTTCTGGCAGGCTGAATCCAGCCCATGGGCCAAATTTTGCCTGCCCCTGAACCACACACATGCCTGAAACAAAAACCAAAGGACCTGCAAACACTTCAGTTACTTTAACTTTGTAAAAAGAAGAGTAACTTCCATTACCAATAGAGAAAGGGAAACGGGTCTTTCTCACATAAATTAATAAAAAGGAGAAATCTAAACAGAGCGAGTGAAAACCAGAACCAGAGAAACACCATCTGTTTCCCAAATGCTGATACAACGGTTTCTTAGGAAACATGGAAAGCAAATAAGAGAAGTTAAGATAATGAAATGCATACACTCAGATATTTGCCCACGACTTGACCTCTGAGGTCTGGACTATACTAGACCATGCAGATCAGCCTAAGGTATGCCATCCAGCTATACAAAATGCATAGCTGGAATCAACTTACCTTAAGCAGAACCACTGCAGCATCTACACTGTGTGAGGTCGACAGGAGCACACGCTCCTGTTGCCTTCCCTTACTCCTCACAGAGTGAAGAGTATTGGATGCCAGCAGAGGCTGCCCTCAGCATTTGATTTGGGGGTCTACACTAGTCCTGCTAAATCAAACACTAGAAGATTGATCTCTGGGGGAATGGATCTTCTCCATTGTGTAGACATACTCAGAGGGACCCTAGACTTCTTCAGGTTTGTGGCTCTGGCCTGTCCCTTTTGTGATTGTCATAAAATCAAGAGGTCATCAAGTCCAGCCCAATACACTGAACCAGGACCAAGTAAATATAAACCATCCTTGACAAGTGTTTATCTAACCTGTTCTTAAAAGCCTCCAGTGGTGAGGATGATAGACCTATTCCAGATCTTAACTACCCTTATAATTAGAAAAGTTTTCCTAATCTCTAACCTAATCTCCCGTGCTGCAGAGTAAGCACATTACTTCTTGTCCTGCTTTCACTAGGCATGAACAACAATTGATTTCAGTCCTCTTTATAACAGGCCTGTTATCAAGTACTCCCTTAGCCTTCTTTTTCTTAGCTTAAACATGCCCAGTTTTTTTCATCTTTCCTTACATATCAGGTTGTCTAAACCTTTTATCATTTTTTTACTATCCTCTGGATTATAAGAACATAAGCATGGCCACAACAGGTCACGCCAAAGGTCTGGGTAGTTTAGGATCCTGCCTATCTTGGCAAATAGTAATTGATGAACCTTTCCTCCATGAATTTATCTCGTTCTTTTTTGAACCCTGCTATAGTCCTGACCTTCAAAACATCAGCGAACAGGTGAGTGCTATCAGGGAGTTTAGAGAGGGAGTTCTCCAGGTAAAGGAGAAGCAGATACAGGACTCTTGACAGAAGTGTGTGTTGTTATTGGGTCTTTCTTACAGTGTGCTGAGCTTGTGTTTGTGAGTGAGGGTTGGTGTGTGGTGGTTGGGTTTTTTTTCCTCTGTGTTTGTGAGTAGTGAGGCTTTAGAGAGGGAGTTGTCCAGGTAGAGGAGAAGCAGATACAGGACTCTTGAGGGAAGTGTGTGTTGTGTTTGGGGCTTTCTTGCTGTGTGCTAAGTTTGTGTTTGTGAATGAGGGTTGGAGTGTGTGGTTTTTTTGTTTTTGTTTTTGTTTGTTTTTTCCCCTGTGTTTGTGAGTGAGGCTTTTTTCCCCCTCCACTTCCCCTTTTCCCTCCCCCTTCCCATTCATGGAGGGCTCGTCTACACTGGCCCCTTTTCCGAAAGGGGCATGTTAATTTCACAGGTCGTAATAGGGAAATCCGCGGGGGATTTAAATATCCCCCGCGGCATTTAAATAAAAATGTCTGCCGCTTTTTTCCGGCTTTTAGAAAAGCCGGAAAAGAGCTTGGGTCCTTCCTGGCACCGTGGCAGCTCCTGTGCCACGAGTCTGGCTGGAGGTGGCTCTGCTCCAGGCATTGGATTCTCCAGGATTGCTGTGCTGCTCTGGCTTAGCCCTGCCCCCGAACTGGACCTGACTGTCTGGGTGGAGCATTTACTTGGTTCATGGGATTGCAGTGTCACTCATTCACATTTGCCCTACCCGGACTCCTGGGAGAGGCATAAGGATCTTGTGCAAAACCCCTGTTTTGCGCAAAAAAACCCATCCACGCAGCTTCTTTTTGCACAAAAACCCCTTGCGCAAAAAGAAATGGTAGAAAATATGCTAATGAGAGTCCCTCATTAGCATATTTTTTGCCGGAAGATCTCGCAGTATAGACGAAACCTTAAAGTCCTGTGACTGATGACAAAGGGAACTGGGTGTCACTGGGGAGGAGAGAGGAGGAGATGGAATCATCAAGGACATCAGAAAATAGTCATGAGAGGGGAAAGGTGCTATAATAGTTTATGCCTATTTAGGGATGGATTCCGGTACAGCTCAGTGTGGAAAATGTGGGCTTCTAATTAAAGTTTGAATTCTAGAAGCCTCTGCTGATTGGCTGAGCCTTGGTAGGGGGAGGGACTTTCAAGAACTCCAGGGCTTTATAAGCAGTGGGCAAGCGACCAAGTGAGGGCTAACAAGGAATTTAGAGAGGTAGTTTGGAAGGGGAGAGGGAAGGGCGTGAGGTTCTCTTGCCTTTCTTTTTAAATCCCTTCTCCAGGACAGCAGCGATGGATCGTGATAGGTCTGCTGTTGTTACCTGCATGGAGTGTGCCATGTTTGTCTTCCTCCCGGAAGAAAGAACGAATTTCATCTGCACTAAGTGCAAGCTGGTCACCATTTTGGAAGAAAAAATTAGAGGACTGGAGGCCCAAGTGTCGACCCTACGCTCCATCAGAGAGGATGAAGACTTCCTCGATAGAAGGCAGCGTTTAATCCTTCAAGCATGGCAGGCGGAAGAGCCAGAGAGGGCAGTACAGGACCAGGAAGAGAACTGGCAGCATGTAACTTCTAGAAGGGGAAAAAGGCCAGCACAGGAACCACCCAGTGCTATAGAGGTAAGTAATCGCTTTCAGGCTCTCTCCACGGTCTCTGCAGTAGTGAATGCTTTGGAAGGGACCTCACAAGGAAGAAACCGGAAGGGAAAACAATTT